TAAAAATAACCCCTCAAAATAACTAAATCCTTTTTTGGATAATTTATTCATTTATTCATTTTCTTGGAAACATCCACACACACACTCATACACTACAGACAATTTAGCCTACCCAATTCACCTGTACCGCATGTCTTTGGACTGTGGGGGAAACCGGAGCACCCGGAGGAAACAGACACGAAGGCAGGGAGAACATGCAAACTCCACACAGAAACGCCAACTGAGTCGAGGCTCGAACCAGCGACCTCCAGCACTACCTACTGCGCCACTGCCTCGCCCACATTTATTTTGGATAATATAAATAAAAAATTTAGATAAAACAATTTATAGTTTAATTCACTTTTGAACTAATGTAACATTGTAACAATATTTTTTGAAAACCAGACATTAAAACAAAAAGACAAAACACAATAAATCTGTATTAAATTATTAAAACTTTAACATTTTTTTATTAAAATGGAAAATATAAAAAATGCTGACAATCAAGAAAAAAATATATATTATTAGCATTGCACATCTAAATTAATTGGTATAAAACTAAAATAATTTTGGTTAAACTGCACCATATAATTAACCCCTCAAAAAAAACGAAATCAATTTTTGAACAATATAAATAAAAATTTAATAAAAGTAAATAGATAAGCTAATTAATTTCCGTTTACTTCACTTTTGAACTAATGTAACAATAATTAATTAATTAATTTAAATCATTTTTAAAAAACAAAATAGACTAAACAAAAAATTAAATAGTACTAAACTGCTAAAACTTTAACCAGTTTAATTTGTATTAAAATAGCAAATTCAAACAAATTCCATGTCATATATAAAACAAATCCTGGTGTTTTTGTAAAATTGTAAAAACATTTGACTGAATTACTAATGAATAAAAAATAAAAAATGAAAATAGAAAAAGACAGCATATAATCCACAAAATAGGCTTTTTTCAGGTACTGTAAGATTTCTTACTGTGGCATGTTTTCATTTCGCTAATGTACCCTGATTTGTGGTTGTATAGGAAGAGGAAATGCCGGAAGTGGAGATCGACATCGATGATCTCCTGGAGGTGAACAGTGAAGACGAGAGAGCCGTCAAACTGCAGGTAAATGTGCAGTTTTTGTCTGTAAGAGAAGACATTTTCATATTACAGAATGAATGTTTTACTTTCTGGATATTCTCTTGATTATTTACAGTTGAAGTCAGAATTATTTTCCCCCAATTTCCGTGTAACAAAAAGAATATTTTTTTTCAACACATTTCAAAACAGTAGTAGTAGTTTTAATAACACATTTTTTATAATTTGTACACTGGAGTGGTTTAAAGCAGTGAAGAGCTGTTTAAATGCTGACATACGAGAGATCCGCTGATGAATCGACCGATCTTCACTGCTTTAAAACACTCCAGTGTCCCTGTATCTGTGGTTACACTCAGTAAACAGCGGTGAGTTCGGTGAACTGATGACCTTTACAGCCAATCACAGTTATTGCTGTTAAGCATGTGAACTCAATTGCAAATCAGCACTGTTTAAGAACGCGCTCAACAGCGCTTAAATATTAGCGGGAAACAGATGTTTTTAAAATATCAGAACCGATTGGTACCGAATTCCAGTATTTTAACAACCCTAGTAGGAACTCACAATATGAAAAAATGTGGAAATCAAGCTGACTCTTTCAACGCCTGTCTGTGGGCAAAATAGAAAACAATGTAACAACATGGGCTTGAAAATAGTAGAAATGCTGGATTAAAATCGTCTGTGGTGTTGAATCTTTTAACTATTAATCATGCAGCCAATATGCAATGTCAGTATGGCAATATCTCCACCTCATGTGTGCATTATTTTGTAATAACTCAACAGCACGTTGTCAATTGTTACTTACATAAATGTACTCTCAAAATGAGTTGAAGCTGCCATCTTTCTAGTATTATTATCTGAATATCAGGTTTGATTACACAGGGATTGAAATAAGGCAACGCAGTGGCACAGTAGGTAGTGCTGTCGCCTCACAGCAAGAAGGTCGCTTGGTTGCTGGTTCAAGCCTCGGCTGGGTCAGTTGGCGTTTCTGTGTGGAGTTTGCATGTTCTCCCTGCGTTCGCGTGGGTTTCCTGCGGGTGCTCCGGTTTCCCCCACAGTCCAAAGACATGCGGTACAGGTGAATTGGGTAGGCTAAATTGTCCGATGTGGATGTTTCCCAGAGATGGGTTGCGGCTGGAAGGGCATGCGCTGCATAAATACGTGCTGGAAAAGTTGGCGGTTCATTCCCCTGTGGCGACCCTGGATTAATAAAGGAACTAAGCTGACAAGAAAATGAATGAATGAATGAATTAAATAAACTGACAAAGTAAAGCAATACAGAGGAAACCAGAATGGCTTGTTGCTAGATCAGATATGTTTGCGGACAGAAGTTAACGAGAATTATTTCTATTATTTATTAAATTTCCTATTTATTTTATTTTATTAGCATCTACCTACATTAAATAACCCAATATATTTTAATTTTTAATGCCTACTCCCACACCAACACTAAACCTAACCGTCACAGTACTGTAAAAATATGAATTATTTTTATTAAGTGTCATTAAAAAACGCTGCTATATTAATGTGCATATCGCACTTCCAGCCGACCGCATATCCGATCTAGATTTTACCACAGGAATGCTCACAGTGCCCTAGGCGAAAAATTCCCATTCAACACAGATTTGTTCATTTTAAGTCTGAATATGCTTATGTTTCCGTTGATATGTGTCTCGGATGGTTGATTTTATATCTCTCTATTTCTGTCCCTCAGGAATCACTGTCAGACTGCTACAAGCCTACTGATGTAAGTCAATTTCAAATGTAGGCCACAGACATACAACTCTGTTACGAAACCAAAACTATAAAGGTTTAAAGCTGCATTATGTTGCCTTGCATTTTCATATTTATGAACATATCAGACTGATTGATGATGCTGAAAACTCAGCTTTGCATTACAGAATTAAATTACATTTAAAACATTAAAACAAACAACACTTAAATGATGTTAAGTTGCAATCGTATTTGACTATATTCTTGTTTTGACTGGATTTTGATCAAATTAGTTTTGTATATCCTGTTTTCATTTTACTGTTAAGATAGTTAAACAACATAGTCAGTGTGACATTATATACTGTAGTCATATATATAATATATATAGTCAGAGAGTGACATTATAAAGTACACTGTTCCCTTTGAAGATTTACCCAACGTGTCCTCGGGAGTTTGTTTTCCATATCAAACTTGCAAAGTCTGAACTTACAAGAAGAGGATGCAAGACTGAACTGTGTGTAGGCTATTTAATAATAAGGGAAAAAGCTTAATCAGATAAGTGAATCTCTGCAGCCCTGCCTCTGTTTTCAGATGTCTTCATTTTCCCCCATCCACACCGAGACAGAGCAGCAGCGTTTTCAAATGAAAGTGGCCTCTTGCTTTTCCAAAACGCTGTTTTTAGCGCTATAGCAAAACTTGTGCATTTTAAAACTAAAATGTAGTGCAAACGAGGCCTAAGCTGCCCAGCCAGCAAATATCTTAAACAGATCCACAGATTGCACACAATCACTGACTGTTTCTTATTTCAGATTTAGATGTGCTGCCATCTGTATATGTGGTATTTCAATCCATGCTGTACCAGTCACTCCAGGCCACACACACATACACACACACAAGCACACACACATACACACACACACACAAGCACACACACACATGCACACACACGCACACACACACACGCACACAGCTTCAGGACATGCTAGTGGATTTCATATGAGCTCACTGACCTGAAAACACAAGTGCTCAAAGGATCCATCCGACACCATAAAAATCACAGTGCATAAGAGCTACAGCAGACAGACACAGTAACCTACTGACCCACACACCCACACAAAGATAGATTCTTGTAATGTAAAAAAAAATCATGACTTGAGACATAATTCTGTTTATGTAATATTTATGTGCTTTTTCTTATGTAATTATATTAATGAACCCTTTTCTATAATTATTTAAATAGATTTCATAGAATTATATTACAATATTTATTAGTGTTAAAAACCTTCTTAACATCACAGTTTATAAAAAACATGAACATAATTTTTTTTAAATATGATATGTGTTTAATATATTTTCTTTATGTCTGTTTGTAAATTTAAGTTGCATCTTATGTTGACCAAGTAATATTATTATATTACATCATATCATTATATTATAATATATTACAATATATTGAATTATATTAAATTACATTATATTAAATTATATATTACATTATATTACTATATATTATATAATATTATGTTATTATATTATATTACATAATTGAAAATTATATTACTATATTATATAATATTAAATTAAATTAAATTATATATTATATTATATTATATTATATTATATTATATTATATTATATTATATTATTAAATTATATTATATTATTATATTAAATATATTATATTACATTATATTATATTATATTATATTATTGTATTAAATTATATTATAATCATTTTTATATGATATTATATCACATTACTATATTAAATTATTATATTATATTATATTATGTTATATTATATTATATTATATTATATTATATTATATTATATTATATTATATTATATTATATTATATTATATTATATTATATTATATTATATTATATTATATTATATTATATTATATTAAATACATTAGCTGAATTTGCAGCATCATTCTTGAGTCTTGATACTTCAGAAATCATTCTAATATGCAGAGTAATATTTTTGAAGAAACTAATTTTATTTAAAGTATTTTTTAATAGATAGAATGTACAAAACAACGCTTAATTAAGACAGAAATATTTTGTAACATTTAACTGTCTTTGCGTCCCTAAATAGATAAATAATTTAATTTCTTGAAAGGCAAATCTTATTGCTAGAATTTTAAAAAGGATTATCAGTATTTAAGTCCCATGTGATCATAAAAATGAATTGCACATATACAGACACTCACTATCCAGTGATAAATGAAAACATACAGACATCCCTCTCTAATGTTAGATAAAAAGAAGAGGCCATATTCAGTATGTGTCTCACCATAGTCAAAATCAACCACACAGTTCAAGTCAATGACCTACAGCCACAGGCTTTACATTCATACAGTCACTGACTGAGTGATCCTGAAAAAAAAAACGTCTACAAAAGACTGAAAGATTTTACTACATACATTCATACATGCACAACAAGAAAAAGACTAGTATGTTTAAAAATAACTAAATTAAATAAAGTTAGTGAAAATGGATAATTATAAAAAATGTCAAATAAAGAATAAACAATGAAATTAACAAATACATTTTAAAAATAAAAAATAGACCAAAAAACAAATAAAAGAGCATTAAATTAATTAATTAATTAATTAATAAGAGCATTAAATAAATAAATAGAGCATAAAATAAATAAACAAAAAAGAAAAGAGCATTAAATAAATAAACAAATAAATAAGAGCATAAAATAAATACAAAAATAAAATAAATAAACGAATAAAGAAAAGAGCATTAAATAAATAAATGAATAAATAAGAGCATAAAAGAAAGAAAGAAAGAAAGAAAGTAAGAAGCATTAAATAAATAAATATCAAATAAATGAGTGCATAAAATAAATAAAATAAATTAACAAATAAAGACAAGAGCATTAAATAAATAAATTAAATAAATAAACAAACAAACAGACTAAGAAAAGAGCATAAAACAAATAAACAAAAAGAAAAGAGCATTATCTAAATTAATACAATTTATGGAAAAGCATTTAATAAATAAATAAATAAAAGCATTAAATTAACAAATAAATAAATAAATAAAAGCTTTAAATAAATAAATAAATAAATAAATAAAAGCATTTAATAAACAAATGCATTAAATAAAAAAAATAAATAAAAGCATCAGATTTATGCATAAATGAATGAATAAATAAATAAATAAATAAAAGCATTAAATATTTTTTTTATAAATAAATAAGCAATAAATAAATAAATAAAATTAAATAAATCACCCAATGTATATGCATTCAGTTGATATGTAACATTTCTGACTTCTCTCTATGCCTCCAGGACTTTGTCCGTGAGCTGCTCGGCAGGATAAGAGGAATGAGAAAACTCAGCGCCCCGCAAAAGAAAAGCTTCTAAGTGCTCACAAATGCAGCGACAATCCAGCTACCTGGACTCCATGTCCCACAATCCATCACTCAGCCTACAGCCAATCTCATCCATATCCAAGGATTCATTTCAGGCCAGGAATCAATAAAACCAGAGTTCATTTTCCAAGGACTCGTATCCCACATTGCAACATCTAAACGGAGCGATCCGCTTTCCAATAATCCCACAATAAATCCAAGAGTGCAAAAGTTAACCCGGGACACTCAGGGCTATACAGGCCCAATTAGTACACTGTTAGGTGCAGTATTACAGCTTTTTTTATGAAACCACAAGCTCTTTTATTAAGTATGATTTACATATTTATTTTCATTTAAAGTCTGCTGTTTTTTTTTTCTTGGGAAACTGATACTGTTTTTTTTATTTTTATGTTTTTATCTCCACCTCTGATTCTGGATCAGCAGTGATGGCCAATATTCATTAGCATCCGTCCTGTTAAATTCGTCATATTGAAGCATGGTGTAATACTTAGGATCATAACCTACTTTTAAGTCATATAACTGATCAGACTACATATCAATACCTGTTTTAATACAACTTTCAAGAATGGTTAACCGTTCTGGTGAAAATAACTACTTTCATAAAGTGAATATGATTAAAGTACATTAAGAGTTGAGAGTGATTTTGGGATGTATTGCTAGAAAGTCAAGGAAAAAGGCTATATTGGGAATTAAACACTAGTGACTGTTCAAGTATACACTGAACTTTATATTATAGAGGGTTGATTGCATTCAGTTGTGGATTATAGTTTTCTGAATTGCATATTTTGGCAAATGCATTCATGCAATGTAGCATACATGTTGTAAACTTTTTAGTATTCGAGCGTATTCTAGTATGCTATTGCGAACATAGCCTGAGATTTGAATGCTTTTAAAAGACAACAAGGGCTGCATGACAGTGGATCAAGCACAATTTCACAGAAAAGCATAACTGTTTGGCATACATATTGGCAAAATGCGTACTAATATTACTAAAACATACAAATGTTCGAAAGAAGGCATGCCCGAAAGCTTGGGGCACGATCAAATAATACTAAAATGTATTGATGGGATATGAATTTAGAGCTGTGGCAAAAAACTTTAAGATATGAGTCTGCAATTTTCAAAATGCATTGCTATTCTCTCTTAAATGGATTCGGAGTTTAGTTTATAACAGCAGATCTGTGTAATACTACAAAATCAACATAAATGATGTGGATTCTCTCAGATCGCCTCCCTGTGGGGAATCACTGAACAGGTTTCATTGGTTTTGCCTGATATCCAATCAGTTTCATTAGTTGGTAGATGTTTAATTTGTAAAATGAAAAGAAATATTATTAGTTAATAGTCTCTTGTTGGCCTGTTTAGCAGAGTCCACCATAGAAAAAACGATGTAGAAGCATTGAAAATATACACAATAATGCATGATATACAGATATTTAATGACATTAGATAACATGCTTTTGCGTGCATTTATAGTTTATACTGTCAATTTAAAGTTCACAATGTTATCAAATATCTAGCATGTGGTGTTTTGAAAACTTCCAAACAGTGAAACGGCTTAGTTCTTCTGCTGTTAAAAACTATCCCAGAGCGCCATCTACTGTTAAAATCTAGCCTAGAGTGCCACCTATTGTTAAAAACTAGCCTATACAGCAGAGCTCTATCTGATGTAAAACAAATAAGCCTAGAGCACAACCAACTGTTAAAAACTATCCTAGAACTCCGTCTGCTGTTAAAATCTAGCCTTGAGTGCCACCTATTGTTAAAAACTAGCCTAGAGTGTCATCTGCTCTATACAAATAAACTTGAATAAAATTGAATCTGCTGTAAAAACTATCCTAGAGCGCCATCTACTGTTAAAATCTAGCCTAGAGCACCATCTGTGGTTAAAAAAAAACAGCCTAGAGCTCTATCTGATGTAAAACGAATGAGCCTAGAGCACAACCAACTGTTAAAAACTATCCTAGAGCTCCGTCTGCTGTTAAAATCTAGCCTTGAGTGCCACCTATTGTTAAAAACTAGCCTAGAGTGTCATCTGCTCTATACAAATAAATTTGAATTACATTGAATCTGCTGTTTAAAAGTATCCTAGAGTACCATCTACTGTTAAAATCTAGGCTAGAGCATCATCTGTGGTTAAAAACTAGCCTACAGAGCCATCAACTGTTAAAAACGACCATAGAGCGCCATCTACTGTTAAAATCTAGGCTAGAGCGTCATCTGTGGTTAAAAACTAGCCTACAGTGCCATCAACTGTTAAAAATGACCCTAGAGCGCCATCTGCTGTTAAAATTTAGCCTAGAACATCATTTGTGGTTAAAAACTAGCCTAGAGCGATATCTGCTGTTAGAAACTAGCTTCAAGGGCCATTTGCTGTCAAAAGTTAGTCTATAGCACAATCTACTGTTAAAAACAATACTAGAGCGCCATCTACTGTTAAAAATAAGCCTTGAGCGCCATCTACCAATATAAAAATAGCCTTCTGCGCCACCTGCTATTAAAATCGAGCCCAGAGATACACCTAGAGCGCAATCTACTGTTAAAAATGAGCCTAGAGCACCATCTACTAATAAAAAAAGCCTTCTGTGCCACCTGCTGTTAAAAACTAGCCTAGAGCGATGTCTGCTGAAAAAAACTAGCCTAGAGAGACACCTAGTGCGCAATCTACTGTTAAAAACAAGCCTTGATCGCCATCTACTAATATAAAATAGCCTTCTGCACCACCTGCTGTAAACAACAAGCATAGAGCGACACCTAGAGCGTCATCTAGTGTTAAAAACTAGCCTACAGCGCTATCTGCTGTTAAAATCTAGGCTGTAGACACCTAGAGCGCCATGTGCTATTAAAATCGAGCCTAGAGAGACACCTAGAGCGCCATCTACTGTTAAAAATGAGCCTAGAGCGCCATCTACTGATAAAAAATAGCCTTCTGTGCCACCTGCTGTTAAAAACTAGCCTAGAGCGATGTCTGCTGTTAAAAACGAGCCTAGAGAGACACCTAGAGCGCCATCTACTGTTAAAAACAAGCCTTGAGCGCTATCTACTAATATAAAATAGCCTTCTGCGCTACCTGCTGTTAAAAACTAGCCTAGAGCGACACCTAGAGCGCCATCTAGTGTTAAAAACTAGCCTTCAGCGCTATCTGCTGTTAAAATCTAGCATGTAGAGACACCTAGAGCGCCATCTAGTGTTAAAAACTAGCCTACAGCGCTATCTGCTGTTAAAATCTAGCCTGTAGAGACACCTAGAGCGCCATCTAGTGTTAAAAACTAGCCTACAGCGCTATATGCTGTTAAAATCTAGCCTGTAGAGACACCTAGAGCGCAATCTGCTGTTAAAAATTAAGCCTAGAGAGACGCAGACCACCATCTACTGTTAAAAATGAGCCTAGAGCGCCATCTACTGATAAAAAATCTTCTGTGCCACCTTCTGTTAAAAACTAGCCTAGAGTGATATCTGCTGTTAAAAACGAGCCTAGAGAGACACCTAGAGCGCCATCTTCTGTTAAAAACAAGCCTTGAGCACTATGTACTAACATAAAATAGCCTTCTGCGCCACCTGCTGTTAAAAACTAGCCTAGAGCGACACCTAGAGCGCCATCTAGTGTTAAAAACTAGCCTACAGCGCTATCTGCTGTTAAAATCTAGCCTGTAGAGACACCTAGAGCGCCATCTGCTGTTAAAAATCAAGCCTAGAGACACAGAGCACCATCTACTGTTAAAAATTAGCCTAGAACGCCATCTACTGATAAAAAATATCCTTCTGTGCCACCTGCTGTTAAAATCTAGCCTAGAGGGATATCTGCTGTTAAAAACGAGCCAAGAGAGACACCTAGAGCGCCATCTACTGTTAAAATCTAGCCTAGAGACACCTAGAGCGCCATCTGCCATTAAAAACTAGCCTAGAGCACAATCTACTGTTAAAAACTAGCCTAGAGAGCCATCTACTGTTAAAACCTAGCATAGAGCGCCATCTGCTGTCAAAAACTAAGCTCAGAATTGATTCAACAGAGAATTTAGAAAATTTAATAATCGCTTTCTCAAAGTTTTTTGTTTGCCACAGCTCTTTACGAATTAGCCAGCAAGTAAAATAGCTATGAATTTCCGTGAGGTCGCGTTGGTAGATCTTCACGACATACATGCTGTGTCTATCGATAGCTGGAGACGTATCTAGTTTGACTCGAGCCATGACTGAAATCTCCTAATATTGTTAGGCTTTTATCCGGTTTCAAACGGAGCCTGCCAAAGAATATAAAATGGCTGAATATTAGCAGTACAAAGTGCTACGGGTGTAAACTGATACATGTATATTCTGTTTCGCTATAAAGAACATTTAATCTTTGTGTCATACTCATGGGTCAGATTTGTGTTTGATGGTGTACGTGGCGTAACAAGGAATCCAGGGGAAAACTATGGTGCTGTTTAAACCTTTAAACCTATATACAGTGCTTTGCAGGCCGAGAGAGAAAGAATAACTGGAGATTCGCTCTGGATGAATCTACTATTTTTATGAGTTTCTGTCAGCCTGCATCTAACTACCATTGTGGGTTTTTAAAAGGTTTGCGTGTGTTTGATTATGCTTCGACCCTTCTCTCTGAGAAGACCGTTCAGGGTTTAGGCTAATTTTATTTAATTTCGTTTCTAAAATGTCGAGGTTTTGAGCGTACGAAAGCTTTATTTATGCATGTTTTATTGGCATGATGGGAACATTATGGATTGCTTTCTTAAAGCGATGATTTGTCTTTTTTATACATTATTACAAGTATTACTCTTTTAACTATTAAAGTCACGACTTTTTATTCACTGTATATCTGCGTTTTGGGTGTTTTGAATTTCTTTTGTTTTTTATTATATATGTAAAGTGTGGTCTTTTGTGCTGTTCTACTTATAATAAAGGCAAAATGTCTGAACTGTTATAATAAAAGTTGTTCAGTGTTAAATTTAATTCACGCACAGTACAATTGAAGTCAGAATTATTAACTTTCCAATACCCCCCACCCCCCCTCCATCCATAGACGCATTCAGAAAATGTAGCCCTACATTTCTATGCACTTATTATTATCACTACTCTTTTCTAACTCACTTCATTGCATTTTGTTATAGTATTTTGTCCCACATTCATCGTTACTATATGTTTGCCTATGTGTGTTTCCTCCAAAATAAATGTTACTCTCCTCCCCCCCTTGAATGACCGCCTTTGGGATGGTAACAATATGATGAGTGCAGAACTGCTTAAACAGCCCAGATGCATTACAAACACAAGCATATGCATGAAATGGCTTTAAATCAAAACAAAATATCAAGTAAAATATTTCAATAACTGATTATACTGGTTTAATTAAGTGAATAATCACCATTAACGAGTCAATATGTTCAATGCAGCACAAATGCATTACAAACACAAGTATATGCATGAAATGGCTTTAGATCAAAGCAAAATATTTACTCATCTATTTGTGTACATCTGATTATCCTGGTTTAATTACATGCATAGTCACCATACGTTATAATAAATGCAGCGCAGATGCATTACAAACTCAAGCATATGCATGAAATGCCTTTGCAGCGGTGCCTTCCCCTTTAAATTCCCTGACCCACTTTCAGCAGGGCATAAATGAAAGGAGGGGGGGAGAGGTGCATGTGAGGAGAATGTCTAATGACAGACTCGCGCTCACCTCCAGATGTGCAACACAATCCATTCAAACGTCATTTACCCCAATCAACAATCTACACTGAAAGGCTATCAGGGCTTCTCTGCAAGTAAACCAGCCATTAGCACTAATTAGATTGGCATCAATGCTGTTGTCCATCATTATAGCATCGTATTAAGAGTGGGCCGACTGAAATAGCCCACTTTAGATAATGCATTCTTCCTAAAGCCCATTTTTTTCGCTCTTTGCATTTGATTTTTCGTATTATTTTGCGTCTCTGTTCATCTCATTCATTGTTTTTTTTTTCTCATATCTAGCATGCAGGGTTATCGTGGATGTGCTATAGGACAAAGGAAGACACTGCTGCAGTGATTGACCATGTGAAGATGATTAAAAAGCCACATGAAGCGAGATTGCTCTTCCAGAAAAAAGATATTCATTCATGTAGTTGGGCATTTCTGAACACTGTAACTGGAAAATAATCTATTCATTCATTCATTGATCAGAACAAGCCAATGGTCCATTTATTATTGAAAAAATCTATTCATAATGAATGAGCTTCTCTTTGGTTTTACACTGCAGGTTATTGCATTGAAGAAAAAACACGACTGCTGGAGCGAACACAGAAAAGGACAGAGAAAGGAAGGATTCATAACACGTGGGTTTATCTTTGGT